GAAATGCCGAAATGCCGCCAAAATTCCACTGAACCAGAATTCTACCCTTCAAAGAGTCAGCCAAGTATGCACATGAAGGAGCGCACACGCAGCCATTCGTCTGAGCTACTCCCCCACCTCCTGGTTTTCGGAGCTAGCCGGCAATTCGGATCCAGCCGTTGTGCGGTACGTAATCATCTCCGTTAGGATTTGAGGAGGACGGAGTCTTAAGCTGTAGAAGCACTGCGCCTGTTCGCTCCTTCCTACTGCTGCTTGAGACTGACTTGGGCCCTCCAAAACTTCGACAGGTACGAACAAACTCCTTTGTGTGTGGTAGAAGATGGACTGCGTCTTTGTACAAGCCCAACATGCCACCATGCACAACATACTGCTGCTGCCGTTCACCTGTCGCTGCCCTTCCACGTCTACCTGTCCATGACACATGCTGCCACTTGATGCGACAACATCTGGGAACAACACGGACACAGGGAGTACTCCCCCTACCCATACACACAACGTCAAAATTGAACAACCTCTCATTCCTCCGTTTCCACATACAACTGATGTAGATGCATGAAATAATACACTCTGCCTTTACTTATTGTCCGCGCTGTCTACAAATGGGAAAGGTAGCCATACTTTCTGCAGACACACGGGCGAGAGAGGTGCCCATACCCACTGCATTTAACACTCACACACATGTCGGTGATGAAACCTCAACCACACGCTTCTCGAGTCTATCGGCGGCCACGTCAGGAGGCAACGATGCGATATTGTTCTCCCGTGCCCTTCGCACATTTAATGTGACGTGCAATTACACAACACCGTCCGCACATGCTCCCATACATCACACACAAAACATAAGTTGATAACGAAAATATGCACACCCCTAGACGCGCTTGCTCCGCAACCACATAAGGGTTCCATATTAGAACACCCGACAAACCGAGTTCCCCTAAATCTTCCGTCTACAACTTCTCAACATAACATGCAGATAGATACACAAGATGGCTACGAAACTGCCTTGTTGAGCCTGTTACCCACAGGGGAGTTATCGTTGTATGCTGT